TCCGCCTCCGCCACGACCACCGCCACCGCCACGACCACCGGCACCACCACCATCACCACGACCACCGGCACCACCACCACCACGACCACCGGCAGCACCACCACCACCACGACCACCGGCACCACCACTATCACGACCACCGGCACCACCACTATCACGACCACCGGCACCACCAACACCACCGACACCACCGACACCACCACCGCCTCCGCCTCCGCGCCGTGTTGCAGCAGAGATGGCAAGTTGGGGGTAGAGATGCGACATCGATAACAAAACATCGATGCTGCCAAACATCTATGTTTATAATACTAATAATACATCAATAATACAAAACTGTCGATGTTTTTAATCTTCGATGTTCTAAAGTTGGATTAGTAACCGCCAACATTAAATTGGTACGCAACAAAATTTAACTGAAAACAAAGTTTTTCACCCAGCTTTCACTCACCATTCGAAACGTAAAAACATTGAACCCATAATATCGATGTTATAAAAACATCGGTTTCAATACATCGATGTTTAAAACATCGACATCGATGTCGCATCCCTAATAGGAATTACTGAGACATCGATAACAAAACATCGATGTTATTAAAACATGAACCAAACATCATCGATGATTTTAAATATCAATGTTTTAGAGCTCTTTTACTAACCTCCAACATTAAAATCGTGCGGCTTCGCTACGATTGGCACTTGATAGGGCTTCCAAAGGCTTTTTGAATGGTGTGAACATCGAACTCAGTTTGTGGGAACTGTGCTTGTTCCTTTCTACATCCTATACTGTGTTTTTTGCGTGTTTTTATTGTTATCTTCGATTGCTAGGCTGTTTTGTTTCATCACTTCACTTTTATTTATCCTTTCTATTATTCCCTCTTAATTATCTCCGTTTTTGCAATTTATTCCTTTTCATCCCTTTATTTACACATTCCTCTTTTTAACCGGCGACTTAAAGTGCAATGACAATGATCTTACTACTAAAATAAATTTGGAGTTATGCTTCTGCAATATAAAAAATTATATACTATTATAGCTTGCAGAAAAAATATTTCTGATAGGATATTTGGATTCGTAATATTCATACCATTTGGGTATAATACATTCAATTCTGATTTATTAGTTTTTCGACTTCGTAAACTTCGAAAAGGCATATTATTTTCATTTCTTCCGCCGTTATAAAAGAGGATAACATTAGTCTCTCTATTGTTCTCTCTTTACAATCCCAGATATTAATTTCCGATTTACAGGCAGACATAAAAACATCGATAATTAGAGAAGTGATAGGTAAGTCGAGATTTAATTACGAGTTGCGTATAATAAAATGGAAAACCTGCAAAGACCGCGGTTCTTTTGTAGTTGATTAATCTTTTTGATACCACACTGTTAAAAACGAAAAGTTTCAAAAGAGGCAGTCGCTTGTTTGATTGCTGCTTCGGGCCTTTATTGATAAACGATGCGGCAAACATTTGCGGCAATTTTGAGCGCTAATTGAGACGACTTAAAAAGTTTTAGCATCGCACTTTCTATGCGGCGTCGCACAACCCACTGTCCTCCAGCTATTAACCGACTCGTCAGCAGTCCTCTCCATTTGATCCGATATTCCATTAACGGTCATCGAGAGTATTCAATTTGAACAACGATATATTGCACTGGGATAACAAACTATCATTTTTTGAAAGAAAATTAAATTGTATCCAATGAAGAGAGAAGAGATCATATTCGTATATAGTTTCCGTTGCGAGAAACGTGATCGTATCGAATGTAATATTTTTTTTCAATATTTTTATTAACACTGGCCAGCCTTTACTTCCTTTCAGCTTTTGTTACTTAATGTTTGGAAGCAACCCTCAGGAAATATTTCACAGTGCCCGTCTGTGTTTTTAAATTTATTGAAATTGGTTTGCGCCGGTTCTCTTTCAGCTTGAAAGCACAATATTTATGTTTCGAAATTGTAAAATATATTTTATTTTCATTGCTTTTTCATCTCAAATTAAATTCTGAACTTCTCTGTGCGCTTGGGGCAGAAGTGTTAGATTTAACTGTGCAACAAGTACCGCAGCACTTGAACGACCAAAACCCAGCAGCTCAGGCCAAGGAGCCTGGAGGTCTGACTGTAGGAGGTCTTCGTTCGCTTAAACTTATATGTAATATTTTTTATTACCACTGACATTGTTTTGACGGCTGTATCATGCGTGTGAACTTCTAAACTCTTAGATTTGAACGTCTTGTGTAACCTTTCTGTAGGGATTGAAAGTTTTCAAAAGTACATTCCATGTTTTATCTACTAAATCTATTAGGAAGTACCTTTCACAGAGGTTAAATTAAGGTAATCATTTCTGGATGGTCTAATAAATTAAATAAGTATGTAGGTGGAATACTTCATTCTTCAGACAGAACACTGAAACTGTCCCGATAAGGTATAGACGATAAAAAGGGTTTCTTTGTTGTAGCATTTTTGGTGGTTCCGCTATTAGATGAACAAGAATCTGCTTTTCTATTGTGTGCATTTGATGAAACCTCTTTTTGAGTAGGAACCTGCGATATTGCACTTGCTATGTCTGTAGTTGACGGTAAGACCTGTGACGAACTGTAATTATTTGTGACCCAGAAGATTTTGCTTCTGGTTCTTGTACTTGATGGTAGTGTCCGTTTAGAATGGGTTATCCTGGTTCGTATGCTGCCCTTCAGTTTGCATAATCGCTGGAGTTTGTTGCTGTTGAATTGATGGTTTTGATGTTGTGAAAGTTGAATGCCATGTAGATATTGTCCATGCGACGTCTGTAGCTGTGACAATATCGAAACAGAGCCTTTTAGACCCCGCCTTTATGAACATTTACGCTTTCGGAGTGTTGTTGAAATTTTTCATGCGTATTGGTGCAACGTACCGACCCTGCGAGTGTGTTTGGAGGTTTAATGTCGATGCTTTAGTTCCCGCTTGCAGAGGCAGCGGTGTCCCGCGTTCGACCTGCGTCGCAGTGAACTGTGACATTTCCGAGTTTTCCGGCGCGGGCGCTGAGCGCTGTGCATGTGTGGCATTGTGCGAGTGACCTACTTTATTGCGCGTACGCCCGCGCCGCGCCGCGCGTCCAGCGGCCGCCCTCCCCCCTCCAGGGCGCGCGGACTTCCCGCCCCGCCCCGCCCACTCCTTTCACGCCCAGCGCGCGCACCTGCTCCCCTTTCAGCCGCCATCCTCGCGCGGGGAGTGATGGGAAGGAGGGAGAGGGCAGGGCGGGGGCGGGGCCGGAAACGAGACAGTCTGTCTGGAGACGAATTAGAGCGGCTGCTGCTCTGATCGGTAGTTTTCCGTGGTGTCTCCGATCAATTTCAGGCGCATGCAGGAGCAGTACCCTGACAAACGGGTCAAGGTCCGCGCGGGATTTTTCCTTCCTCTTACTTGTCCTATCCTCACCTCTTACTTACACACACTTACACTAACATGCACTACCACATATACCGGGAGCTTAGAGCTTCTCAGGGCTAGGGTGGTGCCCCTTCGGTGGGAGATACTTCGTTGGGGAAAAACCCACAAGCTGACGGCATGTCGGCGTCGGATCTCGCCATCTAGCGGGAGAAGATCGCCACCACCTGCTGCGATAAAACATGCCCTACACTTACGGTACTAATGACCTTAGCAGTTGATACAGCCAGAATCCCAATCAATCGATTAACCAAGGAGAGCGTGACGGGGCGGGGAGAAGGGCAGGAACGGGATGATGACGAAGCGAGTAAGGGGGGTGGGGATGAGACCGTGACGGGGCGGGGCAGGTCATGGTAGACGGCGGAGAAAGCGTTGGTCGGGGCTGCGAAGGATCTGACTGGAAAGACGTGCGACGGGCTAGCAATTGCTGGAGGGGAGGGGCGGGGCGGGGCGGGGCGGAGTGGAGTAGGTGGGTCGAGATGAGGCAGGTCTGGACTGAGCGTGGTTGAGAGGGCCTGTGTGGGCGTGCGGCTGACGTGAGGCTGTTGTTGCAGATCGTGGGCGACCGCTACCTGTTCGTGCACCCGGGCGTGGCCAAACGCTCGGCCGACCCCAGCCGCCAGCACCACCAGCGCCTGCTAGGAGAGTCCAAGGTGAGTTGTCGGCGTATTTTACTTTTATTTCCTAAATAATAGAAAATAAATTAAATAAATTGTCTGTAATATATTTTTTAGGTTATAAAAAATCTATTTACTCTCCACTTCAGAGTAAATTAAAAAATAAGTAAATTACAAACTGTGAAGGAAAACAAATGAAACTTTTTTTTATTTTTAATATAATAAATTGATATTTCTAAGATGGTAGGATAGAAGTACAAGAAGTAATACAGAATCAATTGCATGGAATACAATTTGGAAGAGCAGATTGAACGCAACTTCTGCATCTTATTTACTTTTTGTGTGGTTAAATTATCGTATCGGGGCTATTTATTTATTTATATATTTATTTTACTTCAAAAAACAGGAAAAGTGTAGATAGGATATGGGAAGAAGAAATACTATATTTGATATTTAGAAGCAAAGAAGTAGCCATTACAGCCGATGTACAATGCATCAAGGAAATAGTTACCCAAAAACCCAATCAAAATTAGAATCGTTTCCTCTGAAGCTGATTACAATAGTTATTATCCACGTATAATACCTCTTCAGTGCCAAATCAATATAAGCAGACAGTTTTCAAAATAAATTACATTATAATGTTGATGTCAATTAGATTCAAATTACAAATTAAAATATATATAGTATAATATAAATTATACTATAATATAATAAGTATATATATACTTTTATATATTTAATTATATAAGTATATATATATATATATATATATACTTTTTATTTTATGACATCAGGTATGAGATAGTATTAATGTCAGACGTTAAAAGTGAAAAATGAACTTACATAATTACATCCAAGTAATTGCGCAGAAAGCTAATTAGTTTCTTTAAAATCTGAGATTGATATGATATTGATATAAAGTGTAAATTTGACGAAAGTATTCAAAGTAAGTAATGGAATTCAGTTTATACATTTGCAAACGACTTTAAAACGATGAAATCTTCAAGCAGAGAAGGTTTACGGTTTGAGGAACAAAATCTTTATTTCTTTTTTTGTAACAACATAGACAAGAATGAATTATGTAATAAGTAAGTAACAATGGGTTATTACTGATTTCTGGCTAATTAAATCTCTTTTTAAAATTAAAGAACAAATTATTTTGCTTTGTGTTCCGCGTGAGACGCCAATGTATTTTAATAGATGCTGCTGAAATTCTGAATGATGCTTACGGTTTATTACCCTCTTTTTAGTTTCACCATTAACAATTGACTGAAATATTTCTCAAATGGAATGACATGACTGAATATATCAAAATTCTTCCCTGGACTTCCCTGGATAATAATACTTAGGTTGATGCCATGACAAAGTATTATCGAATTCTTAAGGCAGTAATATTGATGACTTCTGGTAAACTCGTTTTCAATGACTCTGGTAAATGAAATCAGACATAAAAACTGTGCAAAATAAGTGGAAATCGTCTTGGTATTCTATTTCTGCTTATTCTTGGAATTCCTATGGCGTTCGTTACCCCTCCGCTCCACTATTATCTGCCATCGCACGCGAGGCCACGTGAAGATTTTGCACGAACGCTGTCAGAACTATGGTCGTGTTTCTCCTAGAGCGCCTGGCAGGATACTGTACTACGTACTCGTATATTAATGAAGTCTAATCGGCTGACAGCTCACGAAACCACAAGCCCGTGGGAGTAAACTGGTCTTAGACGTGAGAAAGGCAGTTGAAGACCACATAATTCAGTGCGTTTAATGTCAAAGAAAACATGATGCTTTTATTGGTAGTTGGGCATTAATTTGTATTTTAATATAAAGTGCTTCTATTTACATTTACGAATTTTTGTCATTTTATTTGAGTACAGTAGTCTCTTGACGCAAGATTCATAAAAGAAATATTACACACATGCTATTTTGCTAAGGAAAAGATATACTACTTGTACTAAAAATAACTTAATTTTTTTTACAAAAAGGGGAGGTAATTTAATATTTCTAAATGAGAAATTGAATTTATAAAAAAAAGTATGTTCATACATTTTTTTTTATATTTTCAAAAGTAAGTAATAAAGAAGTAGTAATAAAAATTCTTGATGCTGTTTAAAATCTCTCTATAGTTTCAATTCAAACTTTTGAACACAAAATATGAACGTTGGGGCCTAATCAGAGAGTATTCATATCTCTTATGGACCTAACAATGAATTCGTATCAGCTGAAAGAATATTCTACCTTTACAGAACTAATTGAATATTGTTCATGAGAATCTCGTGAACAGCCTCATATCACAGCCATAGTCGGATCGGATCGGCAGAGGACACGGGCACCTCGCACCCCTACATCCAGCATTGCTCTCTCACTGCAGTCCGTCTGACGGGGAGGTCCTACGTTCGAGTCCCGTCGGTTGCATTTTCGGGACTAGCTTGTCAGCTAGGTCGGATTCAAACACTGCCTGGAGGAGAATTCTACCGGCCGGCCGCTCTGATCGCTAGTTTTCCGTGGTTTCTCCAATCAACACCAGGCGAATTTTGGAACAGCGCCGTCACAAGTGGGCAACAGACCGCGGTCTTTCCTTCCTCTGCCGTGTCCTATCCTCACCCTTACTAACACACACTTACACTGACATGCACTACGCGACTAATCATTCCGTCGGGGAGACCGGTCGGTAGCTTTCAACTTGTCTCGAACTTGACACTAACCATTCTAATGCATTGCGAACGGATCTCGCTGCAGACGGGAAGGCTGGCGCGACCCATGCGCCGCAGCCTTGGGCCCGAAGGCTTAGACAAACGCCGCTAGGGTGTGGCTAGTGGGTGGTGGCTGAAAAGGCTCGGAGCGCAGGTGTACATTTCAGACGTATTTTGGGAACTACTAGGAATTGTAGAAACGAACAGCAGCCAGGTCTAGCCAGCCTGCCGGAACCGCATGGCGTCGTGGCAATCACATGATTTCGGTTGCCGCGCGAACGCGAGTATGACGTCGCGTGTCACGTGGGCCGGGAGTATAAAAGTGAGAGCGCGAGTCGCGGGTAGGTCTTGACACATCCGGGGACAGACACTTTCATTTATTATTGCTTGTGAACAATAATGTAAATAAATTTGTGTAAATAGTTGAGCTCTTGTCTGTGATTTGTAGTGAGATTTGTAGTGTAGCCTTACACACACACACATTTAATTCAAAACTCTACCGCACATGTTGGACCAGTAGACCTGTCGCGGGAGGGACTGTTCCTCGCTGGAGAGGAAATAACTGGAGGGGGAATAAACCCGCAAGCCCGGACGAGTACAAGACCTCTGATTTAATGCTCCAGCAGTGCAGGCTCAGTGCCTTTTCCAGGGATGAATGTGCACAACACTCACGGGACGAATAATCTACTTCGCTGATGCGCTCGTAAACTACACTCATCCAACACAGTAATTGAACTCAATTTATTGAAAACAAGTTCCACAAATCGATAGTTTGACAGTTCAAAGTAGTGTTTCCGCAGGGGAGGGGGGCCGTCGTGGCTGCGTAGGTGGTCCCGGTCTCTGGTGGAGAGTTGTAGACAACCACCCGGGCTCTGAGTTTCACGGCGGCACTCACGATGGTAGCTTCAAGTTGTGGCAATGAGTAGGCGATGTTAAGGTTGCTGCACTTCCCCTATAACTCTCCATATAGAAGCCCGGCGGGAAACTGATACCTACCGTCAGGTTTGCTGGGTTCTGGCGATACTCACGTCAATAGCCTAAAGGTGTAGACAGAGGAGACAGGTAGGGGCCCCTTAGCCGGCGAATCTTAGTTAGGGTGTTCCCCTGTTGGGCTCTCGGCTTCGCCGTGGCAGTTGCCCGATACTCTGGACAAAGAGAAGGGACTTGTGCCCGGCGCATGTGAATGGCTCGTTGAATTGACGGTACTAGCCGGGAAATCTAGACGCTCTGAGCTGGCAGGGCGGTCCGAAGTATGCATTGAATGGGGAGGTGGCCGTGAAAGCAAACTGCGATCCGACGGGATCCGCTTACCAGCCCGTCGTCGTTCTTGTGCGTGGCCATAGGGTGCGAATAAAGACTAACGCTTAGGTGCTCACCTAGGGGACTTGAGTAGAACATAAATAGTAGTAGAGTTGTATCCAATGCAGGGTTCCGAGTCTAAAACAGTTATAAAAGCGAAAATTTTCCCCCGAGGTTCACTCCCCCCCCCCCCTGGTAGAACAAGGAATTGTGTGGGGCCCACGCACAGTCAAGTCCAATGTAGTATTCCTATTGAACTCGAACGGGCGGAATTTCATGAAAATGTCCCACATTTAGCGTCCCAGGCCCAGGGGTGTAGCTTCTCAGTGAGGGGGGGGGGGTTAGGAGCGGCAGGAAGGCATTATTTGTAAGGAATTTTTGTCAGGCTTCGATTCAGTTGCGCATGGGCGGTATGAAATGGGAGCAAGTGGTGGCGAGCGTTTGCCATTGGTGGCAAGCAAGTGGTTGCGATTAATTCTCTTGTTCAAATGTTCGTTCTTCTTTGATATCGTTTACACAGTTTCCGAGATCTGTGGAAGCAAGAGAATAATCACGGGAATAGGTCCAGAGGTTATATAAGCGTGGGATAAATTTGCTTTGTTTCACGATGTTCTAACAATTCCAGGTACATTTAATTACGACCTCGTATTTGAAATGTTCGCCTCGACGTGTAAATGTAAAGAAATGTTTAAAATATACGTTGTAATTAGTTAGATATGAAATTATACCAAATTGTTTTATTCGTAAGCCAGATTCACTTTTTGTACAAATTTTGTAAATAACAAATTGAGTGAGGATTTGGATCGATTGAGAACACTCCTGTGCGCGTGTATCAGCTCATTGGCGGAATGCTTTTTGGCTCGGGCTACCAACTCACTTTCTCTGGGCGGGCGCTCGCTGCACTGCACTGCGCTGCGGTCGAGGTGAAAGACGCCAAGCCTGCACCACTGCCCCGCACTAACGCCGACTGCCCGCTACTACCTCGCCGTGGCCCGCCAGTGGCTCGCCACTGGGCCGCCACTGGCCGCCACTGGCCCGCACTGCCCGC